ATGAAATAACATGCTAACAGATTTTGTCTTACCATTTGCTATTCCTGCAATTTAAATTCATTTTAAATGTATGATTTTATGTTCTTTATCTTAAATTCCTAGAAGATTAATTCATAAACTGATAGACTAATCTTAACTGTTTAGTTTAAAAATGCTTTGGACGTTAAACTGGAAACAATACACGGATTGAAAAGTAGATGGAAGTTTTTTAAATTTTATAATTTTGCAGTTTTCAATATATTTTAACTTTTTGTAACTTTAATGGTAAATTCTTGAAGGTATTATATTGCAAGCTGAAATTTAAAAGATTGCAAACTCTTTTTTTTTTTCTTTTCCAACTCGTTATCTTATTGCTAGAAAAATAATTAAAGTAAAATTTTACTTTGTGTAATACTTGCCAACTTTCACATTTAACTGTATTTTAGTTAAATACGAATAACAATTAAACGTAATAAAAAATTTTAAAGTAAATCCATGGAAAAAGTTAAAATCCAATATATCCGTTAAAAACAAAGTAAATAATGGATAAGTAATGAAAATAAAGCAAAGTAAATAAAGGAAGTAAAGTAAAGTAAATAAAGGAAGTAAAGTAAAGTAAATAAAGTAAGCGCTTACTGCTTTTAAATTCAACAAGTGATTTAGTTTATGGGTATTCAGTTCAAATTAGTCTAAATTCGGTAAACTATAAATGAAGTACTGTGCATGGGCAACTTCAGAAAGCATTCTCAATGTTCAAAAACAGGCAGAGCTGGGACACTTTTGCATATAAATGCCAAGCTGCGCATTTAAAAATTTATGTTTATGTGAGTATCGTTTGCTTCATTTTATTGTTGCAAACAGCGTAAATTCCTTTTGCTTTTCTTCCTTTAGTTTTGAACTTTATGTGTGGCAACAAGATAATTGATTGATAGAATTGTGTTTGTGACAGCCATGTAGAATGGCTCGCTTATTTTGTATCAATTATTTTGCATCGCTGACAAGTGTAATTTAATAAAAGTGTAGGAATACAGTCCATTTGTTGATTGATTAGTGTTTGTGAAACATATTAAGTGTAAAGAACATTTATTGTTGGTCAAAAGTCTAGCCGGAGATCTAGTGAAGATAGTGACTGTTCTAAGTGTATTCTAACAACGCAATTTGCATATGGTTTGTGAAAATTATCCACTTTGTGAGGTAAGTGGATTTTGAACAAAAATTCGTTTAATTTGTTGTTAAATTTTAAGAACAATGTTGTAATACAACATAGAAATTCGATTTCATTTTAATAATAGTGTTAAGTGATTTAAGAACAATTTCTGTTTTTGAATTGATCAATTATGAGTGAACTTATAACTTTTAAAACAAAAAGAACGGTCTTACGCAGGAGTGTTACTAATTATGTAAAGAAAATTGAAACTATTTTAACTGCAGATGAAATTAATTTAATAGATCTAGAGGAATGTGTCGAATTATTGAAACAAAAAGAAACTGAGTTAAGGAAGCTTGATTCTGAAATCGAAAGTTTAATTACAGGTACTAAAGAATTAGAAAACGAAATAGATAATGTTCAGGAGTACACAGATAAAATTTATTTGTGGAAATTTAAAGGTGAAAAAATATTAAAAAATCAAAATAATAAAAATAATTCTAATAGTGTAATTTCAAAACAGGTTCTTGACAATATTAAATTACCCAAGTTAACATTACCGACTTTTGGTGGTAATATTACAGAATGGATAGCTTTTAAAGATCTTTCAGTGCTTGTGTAAGAAATAATACAAATTTATCTAATGCTCAAAAATTGCAGTATTTGAAGGCTTCGTTGAAAGGTGAAGCATATCGCATTATTCAAACCATTCAAATTTCGGATTGTAATTTTGAAATAGCATGGAATCTGTTAGACGAAAGATATTCAAATAAGAGAGAACAAATTTTTGCATATATTAAACGTTTTTTAAGTTTACCAACTATTCAAAATGAATCAGCATTTGCTATTTTAAATTTAGTTGACAATATTAATGAAATAATTCGTTCTTTAGAAGTATTGAATCAAACCATTGATAATTTTGGTGACACTTTAATGACTTATTTAACTTTTGCAAAAATTAGACCCTGCTACAAAATTATGGTGGGAACGTCAGTTAAAATCTAATGAAATTCCAAAACTTACGACTTTAATTGAATTCCTAAAAAACTATGCAAGAACACTTCAAAATAGCAAATCAAACAAGTAATAAGGTACCTAAATCTGTGTTTCAAAATAAGAATAATGTTCTGGTTGCTACTTTGGGTTGTGGTTATTGTAAAGAAGGTCATCAATAGTTTAGCCAAATGTTCGAAATTTCTAAATTTATCGGTTCAGCAAAGGATAGATTTTGTAAAATCTAATCGTTACTGTTTTAATTGTTTATCTAATATGCACTTGCTCAAAAAATGCAACAGTTTAAATACATGTCGACATTGCTTTAAGAAGCATCAGAGTATTTTGCACATTATAAATAATTCAAAGAATAAAACTCAGTTAAACAGTATACCTCCGCCTACGCAATCTATCATTAAAAGAGATGAATTAACGAGTCCTAAGGACGTTTCAGCCACAGTTTGTGCCTCTCATTATGATTCGAATGCAAAAGGTAATCAAACCAGTCACATTTTATTGTGTACTGCTTTAATAAAAGTTCAAAATTCTAAGCAACAATTTGTGAAGTGTAGATGTTTATGTGACACTGGATCTCAGAGATCATTTATTTCAAGGGATTGTGTGAAGAAATTAGGATTACGAGTGAAAGATAATTCCATTTCTGTATCATGTTTAGGAGAATTTAATACTATAAGTAATGGGGAAGTCGATTTAGTATTCACTTCTCATTTTAAAAGTGATATTCGTGTATCAACATCAGCGTTTGTACTGGACAAGGTGACAGATAACATTCCCTATGTATCTTTGCCATCAATCATCTTCGATAACTTCAGTGATTTACAATTAGCTGATCCATTATTTTACAAGTCACAACCAGTTGACATTTTATTTGGAGTAAATGTATTTCTGCATTTAATGACGGGAGAAATTGTCAAACGTGGTCCTGATTTACCATTTCCGTATTTTCCTTAATCCCGAAAGTTTAAAAATACCTTGGAAAGACCGCTTGTGCCCAGAAAATATACTTTTTGAAGCAGAAATTTTAGCGCTTTAAAAGCAATAGAAATTGCAGTTAAAAATAAATGCTGTCATCTCTCAGTTTAATCAGATTCTCAAACACTTTTCTCCAATAGCAGAAGACTAGTAGTTCTGTCCAGAATTCGAATTCCATCAAACGCGTTGGCTTTTGGGCATTTTTGTGATTTTCCCCGCTATGTAACGTGTGTACGAGCCAGTTTCTATTAGAAAATCCTCCCCGAAGGCATCCCCCCTTATGCAGATAGCCCTTGTATACTATGCCATAATCAAATAAACTAAACCAATAGCAGAAGAAATCTTTCATCTCCTCCCAAGAAAACAGCCAAATTAAAAAGCAAGCAGGGAATGAAGGAAATGAAGATGCCGAGTCCCTTGCTGAAGATGCAGCTAATACTCCTGATTCCTAAGATGTGATTTCAAAATGGCCTAAGAAATGACTAGAAAATGCAGAAAATAAATTAAATCTAGCAGAACGAATGGGACTCCGTTTCTTGAGGCTAAAGAAACATGAACTGATTAACGTAATAAATAGTAAAGCAGTCTCTGTAACCCCGTTTAAATTGTCATATCTGGACCCCACTTATTGGTACCCTTCTTCCCCACTTATTACTACGAAAGAAATACTATCTCTTTCTTAGAAAACTGCCGTTTCAGGAGAAAGAGGATCTTCAGAACACTGCCTCTTCTCACGCCCATTAACAAAAGCACCTCACAGAGTTAGATGAGCTACAAATGAACTTCAGTTTTGGAGATATATCATAAATATTCCAAAATTTCCTGACAAAATCAACAATATTGTCAAATACATTTCGGAGCAAGCAATAATTGTTACTGCATGAAAATGTTTTTGGAAAGTTTTCTGGAGCTACTGTGCGTTGCTTCACTGGATCAACAGGATCACGGAATAGAACCTGTATCACCCTATGTTAAAGTCCTCCTGTCTTAATATAAATGCACTGAGTGTGAATCCCGTGTAATGGATTTTTGAAATCTTAATGTAGAGAGTAACCTACCTCTTATTTTGAATGTCAAGTGTGCAAAGTTTCATCATGATCGGATTAAAACTGCAGATTTCTATGATGGACACTCTATGGTTTTAATGAATCCAACTAGTGTAATTTCATAGATCAAGTTAATAATTAATTATAACTGAAATGAATCTGCATTTTTTGCTTTTCAATCGCTTAGTTTGTTAATTAATAACAGAAAAATTTTAAGAGAAAACTACCTTACCCTTTTCGGAACGAAAAAAGGAGAAGAATAAAAATATTTGGATAAGATAAAAATATTTTAATTCGGGCAGTGGCAATAATTTTAATTCGGGCAGTTGCAGCAATTGTGTTCTCAATACGCGTTCAAATAACATTTCTTTCCAATCTCTGAATTTGTTTATTAAATTCGAAAGACAATTATATTGCGAGTAGCAATCCGTTTCTTTTATACAGCCGAATGTTTTGATTAAATATGAAATATAAATATTTACGCTTTTCGGAGTGGTAACAAAAATTTTACTTTTTATTTATTTATTTTTTTTACTGTAAAAGTTTTTTTTTAAAACACACACACAAAAACAAAAACAAAAAAAAAAAAAGTTTCGAGACAGATCACAGGAGATTGAAAATAAGAATTGGATGTTGTACAGAACACGTTGATTGGTCAGTTGGTCATTTTAATTTAAAGCATTATTGTTTTCGTTAGACGTTACGGAGGCTTACTAGTATTATAAACCGTAAAATAATTGACTTCGTTAAATTTAAAAACTGTAGCAAATAGTAATACTCGAGCTAACTAATTTATTCCATAATTATTCACGCGATCTGCTGTAACGATACGAACGTTTGAGTTGATTTGTTTTTATTTATGCTAGTTCTTAAACTTAGTCTGATGAAAGATTTGGATGACGAATAAGTAGTTATCTTCCAACTTCAAGCGATATTTTTTGTTTAACTGAGAGATGCTTGGTACAAAAATGAATACTGCAGTTCATTTAATGTGTTCTGTATATAATAACCTTCGGATATTCTAGAGCATTATCTACATGAAAACAACTTGATTTACGGAAATTTTGTTTTTCATACATGATTATTATTCCAGTATGAGCGATTTGGAGAGCGAGGATTATCCAGATTTACCTTTTCCGCCATGCGTATCGTGGACGGCAGAAGAAGTCGCGTTTTGGATTGGAGAGATTGGATTTCCTCATTACAAAGTATTTCATTAAATGTTTTGTCATTTGAAAATTTTTAGCATATATTGGTTTTTATATTAATTCGTATGACTGAAACGTAGTACAGAAGACATTCTCGAATGGAATTATATTAAATTGTATTACTGTCGAATTTCTAATAGAACAATATTTTTTTGAACTGATATTCTAGATATAATTTTCTTTCTTATCTGGGCACACACTTTAACTGCTAATTGATCTACGATTGTATTATCCAATGATGAACGGACTTAACTGCTAAATGTCCTATAATCGTAAATTTCTCACACAAAATGAAGAATTTTTAATCACCTGACTTGTCAGAAAGAATCTTACTTAGACCATGCGTTATACTCCTGCTTTCTATCCAACTAACATGTCACCACTCACTCCTGTCTCCATACATCATATTTATCGAAAGATTTATTGAAAGATTTATTGAAAGATGTACAAATGTGATTAAGAACAAGGGCGTAAATTCCGCCCAGTACCATGCATATTTCATAATCAAGATGTGCTTCTCAATAACGTTTTGGTCGAGGGAAAAATAATGCATGAATTCCGCAAGACGGCTATATTTGATCGCTAGTACGTCCTGATGCCATATCGACCACGATTGAAATTAACTGTGTCTTCTGCATGAAAATCATTGCACATATGATTTTTTTAGCAGGAAAAAAATTCTGTTCCACAACGTACATATGTACGTCATTAATAAGTTGTAATAGAAATTTAAGGAAAATAATTTTTAACAGAAATAATTGGCCAGTATGAGTACAAGAGAGAAGAAATTAAGAAGGAAATCAGAATGTTGTCTTTACACTAAGGATTAAGGAAATACATCTACACTTAGCGAATTAATAAGCATATGTATTTTTCACAAGCGTGTATTTATCTTAAATTTTTCTGAATTTTTTTTTTTATGCTTTTCAAGTAAATGAGGTTATTTTAATTTATTCTAGCGTTATACTTTGTTTTAAATAACTTCGAAAATAGGGAAAAACGTGATGTAGTTTAATTTTGTTGTTATGCTGGATAATTTAAAATAAAAATATGTTGTCTTTAAAGCGAATTCCATGCAATCATTATAGAAGTGTTTCATTTTACTTCTGTAAAGTTGTTACATAATATACTAAAATGCTGGCTTTAAATGGCTTACTTAAAGTCACATGAAAGTTTTATACAATGATTTTCGTGATACATTCTCTTCTTATTGATATTTATTTTCTTGTTAGTTCTTATTATTTAAGGCAGTTTATCATTTAAACCCGACAAAAATAATTTCAAGGATTTGCCTATGATGCATTTCCCTGTTACGGATTTTTTAACACTGAATATGTTTTTAGACTGATTCAACAATCACTGTTTAGTTTCAGATGGTAGAAAGTAATAATTTTTGGAAGTAAAATGCAAGAAAGGAATTTAGCAATACTAAATTTATATAATTAGTCAATACTTTTTTATTATAGGGCCTAAGTGCCTATTAAAGGTGGAGCGAGGTAATGGCTGAACACTGGTAGTTAGACCATGGTCTAAATCCTAGAGAATGGGCTGGCCGCATGAGAGTTTTCGTGTTTTTCTCCATGTGTAATGTGAATACAATTCACAGTCTAAATCAGACTATGACCCACGGATCACCAATTTTATAGTTTCAATGTGACCCACTTGAGTTCCGAATATAAAGTGCAGTACATAAATATAAATAATAAAACATAAATATGAAACGAGTATTTGAAGAATACATAAAAAATAAATGATAACAGTAACATTTTTGTTTGATTACAAAGTTGAAATTACGAGCAGTCATTTTTATTTTTAAAAAACTCAAGTCTAACATAATGTTAAGGATAAATCGATATGTCTGGCAATGCCGATCCATAATCCATAATTCCAAAAAAATTGCTTTGCCATTTTGTTCACATTTGGTTCAATTTATAAATGCGAGCAAATATGTTCACACATGAAATTTTCTTTAAATAAGAACAGAAGTAGCTTGAACTACCGAAAGCTCATGCTTTGTCTTAAGAAAGCGAGACTTGACTAAATTAACATTAAAAAATTAAAAGTTACATTAAATTAAAAGTTCATCAACAGGGGAGCAATTGATATCGAAGAGAAAATAAAGTTCATTCGGTTAAGTTTGTTTTTATAATAATCAGAATTAGAGTTTTTTTATTTGTTTTGTTTAAAGTTCAAAGCAAATTGTAATTATTTTCTCAATAAAATTCATCTTATTTTTCACCAAAGACTGTTTTAAAATGAAAATACAACTGACCAGAAAAGTCTTCCTAATACGCACATTTTGTTTGATGTTGACCTGCAGCCAAAAGGTTGCAGACATCCGGTCATAATCGATCCTAATCAGCCACGCATAGTCTTTTGTTGAGATGTGTGATAAGCAAATTAATCGGAAGACGTAAAATGGGACCATGTGGCAAAAGTCAAATTTAATAGGATCAACAAAAAAGTTATTCCATTCTTCACAAGAATTGTCAGAAGTGAATAGGAAAGAATTATGAGATCTATGTAACCAGAACCCATAGCGCTTTCCAAACGTCTTATGAGAAATGGGATAATTTTTTGTTGTGCCTATAAAAATTAACTTTTATCTCATAGCTCCTTTTTACATCTTCCGATTCAGATAAATTTCATATTAAAAATTTGGTAACTAATTTTAAGAATTCAGGCGCCTAACCATGGTACCCGCTTTTATAAAGAAGTTCCAACAGCGCTTTGTGCTTTAATTCCCTTCAGGATCTCTTCCAAATTCAGTTTTCGACGTTTTATGAACTTACAGTACCAGGTCATCATTATAACTAATTGCCGTATAAGTACTAATAACTCTGAAAACACCGATAATTAATTATTATATAAGGTTTCGTAACTAATTACTTTACTCTTTCAGGAATGTTTTGAAAAAAATTTTGTCACTGGACGAAAGCTAGTGCTGCTTGAAGCTAGACATTTACCAAAAATGGGGATTACAAATTTTGAAGATATTAAAGTATGTAGTGGAATTATTATTATTATTATTATTATTATTATTATTATTATTGTTATTATTATATCTGCTTTATCTTTAAATGAAAACATAAAGAAACCTTTTCTTTAATGCATTATTTTCAATAATGACAGTAAACAACCAAACTCATGTTACTTGTCCTGCAGTTTTGAGGAATGAAGCCCACTTGTAAAATTGCTACAGTAATTAAATTCGAAAAAAAGTATTTTTGCATTTAAATAAGGTTTTCCATTCCAAATAATATAAATTAATTTACTTCGTGTAGGGAAATTCCTAAATTCTTCGCTAAATTTGGGGAATTAAATAGTATTTACGTTTAATTTCATTTCTATTTTTCGATTTGCATATGCATAGCAAGGACGAAACATGATGTCTGAACGGTTGGAAGGAGTTTTAAATAAACTAATTCCCTCTGAAGAGTCGGCATTGTTTCGTTATCTTTTCAATTGTTCATTTCTAAGTAATTTTCTTTATATGGCTTTAATTATCATAAACAAAATTTTTGTCATAATTTTATGCATATCCACTACTATTGGTCATTGCTAGTAAAGCAATTTTTCCATACCGATGTAGTTTTCACTATTTAATACATGTAAAATTTTTTTTCTAAACTCTTTAGAATTAAAAAATATATTAATATTACTTAAAATTTACGAATTTGTAAACTGGAATTTATTCAGTCTTTAAATAATAATTCTTTTATTTTCTTAATTTAATTTGAAATATAAAAATTTTAATAGCAGTATTCCCCTTTATAATTATAGTTTGAAAGAAAAATGCTACAAATCACTTTGAATAGAGACTAATTTCTGGAAAGCTTATTGATGAGCAGCTCTAAACCGGCCATTTTTCATTTAATTCAGTTATGATATATTTTTTATAAATATGCGTTAGAATTGTTTGCGAAGGAATTTAACTATCTCGCAGTTCCAACAGAGATTGAAAACTGCATTAAAAAATTTAATAATTGGGAAAAAGATCTTATATTTAGTGGTTTTTAACAGAATGGTATTCCTTCGTTCAATCCGACATCAAGTTAACCTTACAGTATATAAGAATTCGTACAAGTGTAATGAACTTTCATAATGGTCACTGCATACGAAGTTTGTTCTTGTTCAAAGCTTCTTCAAATTTTTATATTTCCTGTGCGCTGTGGTGAGCTGCTATTTTCAGTTATTTTTCTTGATCTTTTAATAAGTTACATATTCATTGGTGTATTTGCATACGGAAATTTTCCGTATCAAACAAGGACATCTTGGAATACTTTTTTTTCCCCTTCATTTAGTAACTCAGAATTTTAATTTTAGTTTTCTATCAGCATACAGAAATTTACCCATTATCATTTTAAAAAATGATAAAATAATATAAAAATATCACAACGGAATCTTTCGCAAACAGTTTAAATTTTTGTTTGTATGAGAAACTTAAATGCTAACTTGAATTTTGTTTTCCTTTTTTCTTTACAAGGCGATTACCGCAGCCATTCGAGGAATTCTGAATACAAAACTGATAGAATATTTTAGGAATATATCGTTGCCACGGAGAGAACCTTGGGCTTTGTACCTGGAGGAGTATAGCAGAACGGGAAAAACAGCCGAAAAATTGAAATATCCTACCTTTCTGAAAGAAAGGAAAATGAAACATACAGATCCATGAAAACTACAGTTGCGGCATTCCAAGAGTTGGATGAAGCAACAGTTATATCAAATTTATTAAAAAAAATAATAGTAAAATCATTACTTCTAGATTTAGTTCTGGTAGAAAAAAAGATGCAGTTATCTTGATATCAATTTATCATAATGACAATTTCAAAGACGTGTTTAAACTTTATAAGAACATCGAATTATAGAAATACAACCTTTATTTAAATCTACTGTTATTAAAATAAATTGTAGTATTTGGACGTTGTTTTCCTTGTTTAATTATCAGTCCTGAATTTGAATTATTCTTTTGTTGTTAGGAACTACGCTTTTTTATTCAGTAAGTAACAAGCTCTTTTTTTTTTTTCTTTTTTTTTTTTTTTATGTTTGCTTTTTTTTTTTTAGTTCGAAATAAACAAGCTGCAACTATCAAATAATTTTCATTCCTAAAGGTGTCCTCGTTTATGGCATATAGTAGCAACATCAGCAAATACATATAGCCAAAATTTTAGTACTTAATATGTGAAACTCTTTTCTAAGATTGGGGAGGAGGTGGGAAAATGCACTACTTTTTATAATTTTATTAAATTAAATAAATAAGGAAAATAAAATACTTCAGTCATATTTTTAAGTGTCTGAAAAGCTCTCTTAAGATTAGTGTTATTTATTAGCCGTGATAAAGCATGCATCTACGCTTTTTGATCCAGTAACAGCTCAACAAATTAAGTGTGTGGATCTCGAAAGACGAAGCAAGACCGGAAGGTCCATATCAAAATAATTCAAATGCAAGGTAATGTTGGCTGTTTTCTTCAATATCATCTGAGTATTTTACTGCGTGTATGAGAACTAATACGCTGAGGACCCAAAGAACTGAAATCTTATGTTGAATGGAATTGGAACTGATAATCTTTTATTCATAAGAAAGTACGGATTCAAACTTTTATCTTTATTTTCGTTATATTAAGAAAGCGCATATCTTATAAAACTCAAAGTTTTTGTTCTCTTTCCATCTCTGAAGAAAACGTTTTTCACGAAAGCCCTCTTCCTTTTCTGGCAAATAGCTATTGTGAGCTTTCCTTTTGTTCAGTTAAAACCAACGAACCAACCAGCTTTCCTCAAGTGTACATAATTGAAAAATTTATTCGGTTGGTATATAAATCTGTGTATAAACGTGTAAATATTTCTGAAGATATTAATTTTTCTGAAGTTTTAGAAAGTCATATTTAAAGTTTTAACAACTATAAAACTTTTTTGAGCATTTGAAATCCATTTTTTTAATCTTTAAAACCACGCATTTAACACAGGTTTTAATTAAAATAAAATATTTTTTCCGACCTCCGTTAAGAAAGTTAATAAATTTCCAGGTTTCATTTTTTTTTAAACAAAAGTAAAGTTTTAAAAAAAATCTCATATTAATAGGAATTTTGTAATTTCACCTTTCAGCAACAGATGGCAGCACAGTAGCAGATAATTATTAACTCTTTTTTTAAATATATAAAATGAATTTTTAATAATTTAAATTTTTTTAATTTGAAAAATATGCCGAAGTTTTTAAAGACAGGTTGAATTTCTTAAACTTATCCCAAAGCAGAGGCTTTTCTAATCATACAATCAATCATCTTGTCGTCAAATTGATTTTTGTAATAATATTCTTCCGCATCTGTCAACAACGTTCTTCCCTTAACTATTGGATACTACTGCGTTAAAAATGAAAATAAAAGGCATGTGCTAAAGTTTTTCTTTTTGAGATTTCACTTCATTTTTCTGTGCACATGCGTTCGAATGTTTCTTTGTAGCTTGATTTCTCAAATTGATAAAAGATGGCAGCACGAGTATCGTCGATGCAAAATCATTCTGCATTGAAATCGAGTCTTTCTTGTACGACATTTCTTGAAGTTAATTGACGAATATTAATTCAGAGCCATTTGCTTGGCAATAGTGTTTGCTGGCGGTTTCAAATGTGTAATATTTTAGATTAAATTTCATGTGCGTTATGCCTTTTACTGTTCAAAATTATTGTGCGTTGTCGCTTTTATCGCGGCTGATGCCCGCCTGCGAATTTGAAAAAAAGTGCCCTTCAAGATCAGTTTTTTCATCTCATTCTCTACCAATGATAGAAGGGAGCTTAGACGGGAAAAAAAAAAAAAAAAAAAAAAAAAAAAATATTTTCAGCAATTAAATTATATTTTATTCAGGAAAAATTTTGTTATTTTTTTGATATTATATATAAATTACTTAATTTAAAAATTAATTAAACATTTATATATTAAAATTTTATTGCTTAATTAATTAAAAATTTAATTAATTAAGCAATAAAATTTTCATTTTCATTTTTTTTTTATTTTAGTTGGAAAAGAGTATAAATTATTTCTCTCATGATTTAATTGGCACATACATAAGAAGAAATTCGTTGAGTTATTTATTAAATTTGATACAATAGACACATGCTAATTTTGATTGTGGGAATTCCCGTGGATGAGAACTGCACTAAATCTACTGCATTTTTACTTTAGCAGGAACCAGACTGAAAATTTATGTACTACACAGAAAAAAAAAAAAAAAAAAAAAAAAAAAAAAAATTCTGAAAGCTTTTACATTTTATATTACGCCCAAAGGGGCGTTTTTTTTTAACGTTTCGGGAGTTACTTTTTATTAAATATCATTTTCTTCGCACTTAAACCATAAAACTCATTTCAACAGCAGTATCACAAAATAATTTTAAAAGACCTTATCTTTAGAATTTCCGAGACACAGTCTCTCGCGCTGGAGATAATTTTTTTCCCCCCTTACAGTCATTGCTCGCTTTGAGATCGTCGAGTTTGTTAATCAAAAATTTGTTAATGTTCTACAAAATATGAAGTAGATAATAAAACAAATTCCATGCTCCAAAATTGGGCTTCCATTCATATTCGAGTAGAGGACTATGTAATTCAAAATTTGATGTCTCTAGGTACCGTTGTTTTTTCAACTATGAGAAACGTACATACATTCGTGCAAAATCTTCATTATTTAATTTCTTTAAATATAATGCAGGGCTCTAACATTTGGTGGCAAGAATTTTAAAAGTGAAACGCAGTTTATAGTGAACCATCGCGAAATGTCAAAGCGAAATTTATAGCCTTTCTAGGCACATTGCCTCTTTGGGCTAATAAGTTCGAAACTGTTTTTGTTTTTCTGAAAACTACCAAATATTACCCCATTATCTTCGATTGCGTACTAATATGAGCAAACGACAACGCGGGAAAATTGTAACATGTTTTGACATTTACTTTAATAAAACCTTGACGAATGATATGTTTTGTTTCAATTTTACCTTCATCTCAGGACTTTACGTAATGCAAATGAAAGGAGAATAAAAAGATTTCAACATATATTTCAGTCGTTCGTTTTATATGGGATTTATTAAAATACTGTCCTTTATATAATGGTAATTTATAAGATTTTGATTAACATCTTAATTAGGGATCTTAGTTTTGGGCCAGATGTATTTTGTAACTTGCAGATGATATTCTGGTTTTCAAAGCAACAAACGCTATCTTAGTTCTTCATTGATCTTTCAGTGCAACGAATTCAATAGCAGCACATTTTCTCATACCTTTGTTTTTAACACTTATATAAAAGCTGTTTCATCATTTACTTGCCGCTCTGAATATCTCTGCACAGCTCAATATCATCAGCCACAGCAAAATATAATTAAAAAACACTCATGTTTAAGAAATACAGTTTTAAATTATTTTAAAAAGCTTTAGCAGTCAGAAATTCATGTCTCGATGGTATAAGAGAATAATCATCAACCTTTTCAGCGGAAACTAGTAAATGTCCCTAGCAAGAACATTATTTATATAAAGTGCTTATGTTATGCTTAAACATTTGGAAAAATGCGACACAAATGATGTCCACAATCAACTCCCAATAATGACCTTTACACCGTTAGTGGTGCCACCACACTGAAACTTATACGTAAGTTTCAGTGTATAACTAAACTATATACGTAAACAAAAAAAAATGTACTATATATGTAACAGTAACGTAAACAGTATGTATTAAATTAGTTACACTATGCAGTAAGCTAAAATTTGTATTTTAATTTGATTTACATGACTAAATATGAATATGTGGCCAAATGGTAACTACATGCATTTAAGAATTAAGTATAATTTTATTACTTAATTACGCTCTTCTTAAAATTTTTATAGTATGTAAAAAGAGGGGAAACTAAAAATTGCTTTTTAGAATTTGCATGAAAGTGTTTTTTTAGAATTCACGGGCTTGAACTGAAAATCCTAGCGCCGACTCTGGACGTTTAGCCATAGTTTTAATCTTAGAAGATTCTTTAAATAATTAACATTTTATAGTTTTATCTTTTGTTAGTAGATGGCAGCACAAACAGAAAATTAATGTTTTCTTTTATAAGAAATGACTTTTTTTAATCTTCTCTACATTGCTTTTTAGGTAAAGATTTGTTAAAACTTCTAGTGGTTTATTTATTTTTTTAAATTTTGAAACAAAGCCAAAGCGCGGTTAGACATACAATCAATAGCTTCATTGTTAAATTATTTTTTGTCGCAGTATTCTTTCACTTCTGCAATTAGCACTTGCATAACTTATATATTGCTAGTAAGAGACCCTTAATGGATAAAAGTACGTTGAAGTATCCTTCTTGTTCTTTTTAGAAATTTCCTGACTCAACACTAGTATCTCATGAGCACATGAGTTCGACTGTCTTTCTGTCTTGATTTCCGTAATCGGCAAAAGATGGCACCACGAGTATTATCAATTTTAAATCGTTCTGTATGGAAAAAATTTCTTAGTCCAACTTTTCTTGGGGTTAACTGACAAATATTTCATTTGAAGGTATGTACTTGGCAATAGCATTTAGGGGAGGCTTGAAATATGTGGATTTTAGGTTGCTATTCATCTGCTTTCCGCCAAAATTTACCATTCAAAATATAAGAAATATTCAGAATATATTTTATAAAACTGAACCACAATTTAAAGGGAACAAAATTTAGAATTCCTAACGTTTTAGTTTAACAATAAGCAGACTTTGCAATACTCTATTTCCCTAGAAATACGAAGTCATGAGAACATGACGTTCAAATGAAGTTCCCGCACTCACATGCGGAAATCTTTCCCTTTAAAAAAAAGCAATAAATTTGAGGGAGTTTATTTAGGAACGCCTAAATTTCTAGCCATGCCATTGTATGTAGTGTATTGTTATCGATGCTTACAGTTAGTTATCCTCGTAGGAAGGACGATTT